TGAGAGATCACCACGCAGGGCTGAGAGATCACCACACAGGGCTGAGACACTGCCACGCTAGGTGCCAAAAAAGAAATTTGGAAAGAATTAGTGTGCAAGGGTATGGGCGAGAAAGCAGGATATTGGCACTAGGTAATTATGCTTGTTTGAAGAGCCAATGCAGACATGATTGGTCAAAAGGCCTCCTTCTGTGTTGTAATAATGCTGGGATTATATCTTGTTGTACCAGTTGGTGGGAAACTGGAGCATACGCTGGCTGGTCAGACTGCTGGGATAGGAATGGCATCAAGGTCAAAGTGACACTGTGATCACACTTGCATCAGAAACCTTCCTATGGTATTCCTCGCTGTTAAGTTTCAGTCAGCCCAGAAGTGTTGAACAATGCAGCAGACAGTCATATGGACTAACAGCAGATACATTTTGTTTCTACCACCGTCTTGTGTTGAGTGTAAACAGGACAGCAATGAAACAGAATCACACCTGGGAGCTTGAGATTGACAAGAATGGGACAGACTCTGTGGAAGATATTGTTGGCAGGCATTAAAGGCAGCCAGGCCTTCCAGAAGTTTCTTCCTTTTTAGTCTTCAATTTTGTATCTGATGTATGTGGGTCTGAAAAGATTAATATTGGGGTGTGCCATAAGAATCACCCAGTATAATGATGTCATACTGAACTGTGAATACAACAACTCAGGATCTTGATAGAATGAGACTCAACATCTGGTCTTACTCAAAGTGGCTGGAATCATGCCTATCATATCCACACAACCTGTTAACATGCAATAAACTATATTGTGTTAACTACGAAAGATACTTAAAGACAGAGCACAGTGTTACTGTGCTATACTGGACCAATGTAAGTGTCAGTTGCCTATATTTAAACAGGATGCTGGCAGCGAACTTCATCAGGAAACAACATTTCAACCTGTGTATGGAGATGGCATCCCATGCAACAACATCAAGGACCGATCTGGTCCAATCAGGGAGCTCGGCTGACAGATAAAAATAGGAGTGTCAGACAACCTGACCACTCTGAGAGCTGGCTCTGAGGGAACTGTTTCATGGGCTTTCCACATGTAAATAAAAGGTCACTTGATAATGGGATAACCAGCCTCTGTGGAGTTATTTCAGTGGCAATGAAAGTAAAGCATGATCCTGATGAAATTTGCTCACAACTGCCATCTTTGAGTTGGATAAGATTTTCTGGCTGCATGCCGTTACTTGGGAAGCTTGGCTCGTATGACGCTACCATTAAAGACAGAGCCCAGTATGTGGAAAGAATGCATTATTTTTTCCAGGCAAACAACATTGGGGCAGGTGAAAAGCAATGAGTAATTCTCCTGACAGCTTGTGGACCTGCAGCTTTTTCGGCTATTAGAAGACTAACTTTCCCTGAGGCACCAGATACTGAAACCTTTCAAGATCTGATGATTTAGTTAAGGAATATTATGACTCCAAGCCTCCTCTAATTCTGAGACATTATCAGTTTTACTTGGCATTTCGAGAACAAGTGGAATCTGTATCAGGATTTTTGACGAGGTTAAGATGTCTGGCAGAGGCATGTGACTTTGGTTTAACCATTAATGAGGTGCCGAGAGACCATTTGGTATGAGGGATTAATGATGTAACTATGCAAAAATGCCTCATATCTGAAGCCCAACTGGACTTCAAACAGGCACTGGAAAATGCGGCAAGTGGAGCATATGAGTTGTAGGGCATTCTGATGGAAATGGATACCCTCGCCACTCCAACTGAGCTTGGGGAACACCACCTGAGGGAAGGCAATTGCATAGCCACAGTCAGGATATATCCTAAACAGAGGGACTCTAGGTCAGCACACAGCAAAATCCGAAAACACAACCAAGCCTTGGCCGAATGGTTAAAATTCTCCTCAGAATGTGGGCCGGTATGCCATTGTAGTTGTTGTCGGTATGCAGACTCAAGATGGAAAAAGCGTCCCACTAAACCTAAATTTAGTAAGAGAACTTGGAGGCCAGTATTCAGGAGATTGCACACCCTGAAAAATCCCCCTGCATCTGATTTTGGGGCAGTTAAATTGCTCAGCAACATCCAAATCAGAACCAATCAAAATAAACATCTGGTTAAACAGTCACTCGGTTCTAATGGAGGTTGATACCAGTGCAACGTTTCAGTGATCACAGAACCAGCCTTTAAAAACATTCGCCCTGGACTCCAACCCTTCAGCTTGCACACCACCTCAGCTAGGCTGAGAACCTATACTGGGGAACCGTTCCAGATTAAGGGTTTAACTTCAGTTCCAGTCTCTAATGAGAAGCAGCTGGTTCAGTTACCACTGAATGTATGCTTGATGGAATGAAATTGGTTGAGAAAAATTTAGCTAGATTGGCTGAACATTTTTAAATACCCGGAAGTTTTTCAGGAAGGCCTAGGAACTACCAAAGAAGCCAAGGTCACCTTGTATGTTGACCAGAAAACAATTCCACGATTCTGCAAGGTACCATTTGCATTACAGGCAAAAGTAGAGGCAGGAATCAGGAGGCTGAAAAGTG